GCATCTATGTTCATTAGAGAGATTGGTCTGTAGTTCTCTTTTTGGGGTGGGTCTTTCCCTGGTTTTGGAATCAAAGTGACACTTGCTTCCAGGAATGAATTTGGAAGCCTTGCTTCCCTTTCAATTTCCTTGATGAGTTTAAAGAGTAATGGCGATAGTACTTCTCTAAATCTCTTGTAGAATTCAGCAGTGAACCCATCAGGACCTGGGCTTTCCTTTGTTGGTAAATTTTTTATTACATTTTCAATTTCACTCATTGTAATTGGGGTGTTTAGAATTTCTTTATCTTCTTCATTTAACTTTGGCAATTCGTATGTATCTAGGAATCTGTCCATTTCTTCTGTGTTTTCCATTTTATTAGAGTACAGGTTCTCAAAGTGGGTACTGATGATCCTCTGGATTTCTGCTGGGTCTGTTGTGACTTCACCTTTTTCTTTCTTAATTGCATGGATTTGAGCCTTTTCTTTCCTTTTTTTTGATAAGGTTGGCTAAAGTTTTATTGATTTTATTTATTCTTTCGAAAAACCAACTCTTTGATTCATTAATTTTTTGTATCATTCTCTTAGTCTCCATTGCATTGATTTCTGCTCTGATCTTTATAATTTCTTTTCTTCTTTTTTTTTTTTTGGTACTGGGGATTGAACTCAGGTCCTTGTGCTTGCAAGGCAGGCAGTGGAACCACTGAGCTAAATCCTCAGCCTATAATTTCCTTTCTTGTACAAGCTTTGGGTTTGTTATGCCCTTCTTTTTCTAGGTGCTTGAGATTCTGCATTAGGTTATTTATCTGAGTTCTCTCTGTTTTGCTAATATGGGCATTTACTGGTATGAATTTACCGCATAGAACTGCTTTCATTGTGTCCTATACATTTCTGTATTTTGTACTGGCATTATCATTTACTTGTAGAAACTGTCTAATTTCTTCTTTAATTTCCTCTGTGACCTATTGGTTGTTCAGGAGGGTGTTATTCAATTTCCATGTGTTTGTGGGAGTTTTGCGGTTTCTTATGTTATTGACTTTCAATTTCATTGCACTATGGTCTGATAATATACAGCGGGTAACTTCGATTCTTCTACATTTACTTAGACATGTCCTATAAGGTAGCATGTGGTCTATTTTGGAGAATGATCCATGTACAGCCAAAAAGAATGTGTATTCTGATTTTGTGAGGTGGAACACTCTGTAAACATCTATTAAATCTAGCTGTTCAATAGCTTGGTTCAGTTCTAAAATTTCATTGTTAATTTTTTGTCTAGATGATCTGTCTGTTTGTGATAGTGGGGTAACCAATGCTTTTTTTTTTTTTTTTTTTGTGGTACCGGGGATCGAACTCAGGTCCTTGCACTTGCATAGCAGGCAGCAAAACCACTAAGCTAAGTCCCCAGCCCACCACTGCTTTTTTAAAAGAATTTTTTTTTTTTCCGTACCGGGGATGAAACTCGGGACCTTGCACTTGCCAGTCAAGCGCAGTGCCACTGAGCTAAATCCCCAGCAAAAAACTAAAATTAAAAAAAAAAAATTTAAAATCGTCAGCTTACAGTTCAAGGCAGAAAAAAATCAATAGTTTAATTAGTTTCAAGGTTCAAAACATTACAATCTACTCCTTTCTAGGTTTAAGTCACTTTTGTGAAAAGGCATATTCGATAGCTATAAATTTAAGATGCCATTTTTTAATAGAGAGTAAGAAACAACTACATTCAAAATAAACAAAAAACAAAACAAAAAATACAATCAATAAATATTTGATTAAAGGGAATGAGATGAGATGTCTGGAGAAAATAATTCATCTACTTTCATTGTATTCAACATTAATGGTGCACATGTTACACACTCTGATTAGTATCAGATATAGAGAATGTAAGGGTGTACAAGTAACCTTTCACAAGTTACAATGGTATTAATTAAAATGCCTGAAAAGAAACCCTTTCCCTTCTAATGAAAAACAAATTAAAATAAGATTCACTAAATATGAAGAAACAAAAATATGCACACATTTAACTTTGAGTTTTTTATTTTGTTTCAGACAGCTGGACAAGAAATCTACATGCTAGAACCTCTTAATAGTCACTAAACATGTGAAAGGCTACTTACATTTATAAAGGCAAAGAGAAAGTTCATGATTGTCTAATAGGGAACATGAATCCCCAAATAAATTATCTTACAAAAATATCAAAATTGCTTTCCCACTTTTCTACTACTGGTAAATATGAAAAGAAAATTCACATTTTAAAAATCTGTAGGCTGGTATAGTAAGTTAAGGCCATTATTTTTACATATTAAGTAAGTCCTTCAAATAAATATTTTACACAAATTGAAGTTTAAAAAAGTAGGTCAAGTTTTACCCTGTATTTCTTTGGTCCACTAAAAGACCACTTATCAACTGACATTAAACTGGATGACAGTTCACACCACAAATAGGACACACGCCACTGAGACCGCACATGTGCAATGGCTAACACTGCTGCATCCTGAGGAGTTTCACCCTGCACAAACCCTCAAGCCTATCCAGAATCATGCAGGGAAAGAGCAAAAGATAATACTGCCTACTACAGAAATGTACAGGCACTGTGAAAAAACGCAGAAAGGATAGTTTCCCAGGCATAAAGATTCCTGAACATGGAATAAAACTCAACGTTGTTTCCAAATACCTGAACTTGGAGTGTAGTCAGGACACTTGTGGAGGACACACAAATGAACGCATGTGACAGAACTCTGGCTTCTGTGGGGTCTATTCCTGTTGTTTTATTCCAAAGTTTTATGGGAACTTCAATCCTGATGGATTATATTTAATAAAATATCGGTACATTAAGTTCTTCTATTCTAAGTGTAAGAAAAACTACCATAGAGGGGTATAGGACTTTTTTGTATCTTCTTAGACTTTTATAACTAATTTGATTTTCATTATAATGATATTTTAATTAACAATGTGCTAAAAAAAAAAATCGACAGAATTACTTTTTGTCCACACTGTTCAATTCTCTTATTGCTAAAATACTGTATTACAAAATGAATCCAGTAAACATCTTCAATTTCCAAAGGCCTGAGAGATGAATTCAACTTTTCTTTAATCAGTTACAACTACACTAGGCTGAAGACAGCAATGGTAACTTTGCAAACTGAAGCCAAGCATCCAAAAGTCTAAAACACTAACACTTTCCATCCAGGATAGAAAAACGAGCATCCAAAGTAAAGAGAACCACAAGACTGATCAAGTAACCAATCAAAAACCACTTCTCTGTTATTCGAGCTAATAGTTACTCGGAGCTTAAAGTTTCCGCCTTCATTATTATTGGTGGTTCCAAGAGTCATAGTTTCGATGTCAAATGTGACAGTAGATCCAGAGGTAACTGCAGGCAACTGGTTTGTCATTTCCTTTCCATTTACAAAAACTGCACCTAAAAGAGTAAAGAGTCATTTACCTGTAAGCAGCAATTCTAGTAAGAGAATTGAAACAGCTTCTAGGTTACAGATATAACACAGCCAGTTTTCTTAAGTCAGAAAAAGAAAACATTTCAGAATGCCAAATGACATTGGTAATTAATTTAAATATGCTCAGTAACCTCCATCCCCATGGCAGGACAAAAGTTAAAGCCTCAATCTTTAGCATTCTGGTACAAGGCTACTCTTTACCAATAGAGATATGAATTTCTGTGAATGACCATCAAAAGAAACTTAACACCACTGCAAAATTACAACCTGTGAAACAGCAAGATTGTTTCATATGGAATAAATAAGGATCTTGTTCTATCTAACGTTTGATCCTATACCACAAAATATTATAAGGTCTTACTAGTAATTTTGAAAAGTGTAATTGCTATGGAGTAAGGAACCAAGAGCACTGGAAAAATACAGTAAGTATCTTTTCATCTGGATGTGGCACATGCTGCATTGGGAGCCTGAGGCAGGAGGGTCATACATTCAAGGCCAGCTTGATCAACTTAGTGAAATCCCATCTCAAAATAAGATTTAAACGGTCTGGGGATGTATTCAGTATTTGAGGGCTTGCCTTAAAAGAAAAGAAAAAGAAAAGTCCTCTTTCTCCACAGTTTCTTAATCTACAAGATAAGTATTGTGAACTGCCTGGTTTGTATTATGAACAATAAGTACTGTATTGCCTGGGTAAGTATTGTGAAGTCCAGCTTAGTTGGTCCCAAGCCTTATTATTAAGTCCCTCCCTGAGGACTTAATTTTCATCTCAGAAAGCATGAGGTGTGAAAAAAACCACAATGGATGTTCAAATTTTTTAAATTTGTCTTTATGAGACAGATGTGATAAAAAAAAATATGGTGAACCCTGCCACCAAGGGCCATCCAACAGAAAGGCAGGGTCATGAAAATATTACAATGTGTCTTCATCTACTTATTTATTGAATCTGGCACTGTTTGACTTCTGGCTCTTCTCCAAAGAGAAAATGATGAAGAAAGCAAACATTTTGAAGTGATTCAGGACACTGAAGCAGCCACAACAGTGTAACTACACACACACATTCATGAAAAAGGACTTTTGGAACTGCTTAAAAAGTGGCAAAAAAGGATGGGATGAGTGTGCTTGAAGTGAGAGGGAGTATTATTATTTTTTTTTGTACCGAGGATGGAACTCAGGTCCTTGTGCTTGCGTAGCAGGCGGCAAAACCACTGAGCTAAATCCCCAGCCAAGAGGGAGTATTTTAAAGAGGATAAATACCAACATGTCTTTATTGTAATAAATTTATTTTAATTTAAGTATTCACTGTACTTTTTAAATCACAGCTTGTTAGAAAAATCAAATGCTTTTTTACTTGTAAAGGATTTTAAAACAATGCCCCCTGAGGCTGTAGCTCATTAGTAGACCATCTGCCTAGCATTCAAGAGATCCTGGGTTCACTCCCCAGCACTGGGGGAGGAGAAAGGGCTAAATCTTTTCATCTCCTTTACCACTGCGTGGTATTAGGGCATTCATACTTCACTACCATATTGACTTATGTTTCAAGGAGAGCGGCAGCTATCTCTTACCATTGGTACTGATGCACACCGCCTGGTCCCGCTGTAGAGAGTCGCATCCGCTCTGCTTCTCTGCACACACTCCTATACTGTCTCTGTGGTCTGGCTGCCCCACAGTTTCAACCCTGTACATGAGGTCAAAAGGTCAGTTCATGTTTTTTTCAATATTACATTACACCTCAGAGCTACTCTTTTATTTTGGCACCGGGGATCAAACTTGGGTCCTTGCACTTGTGAGGCAGGCGGCAGAACCACTGAGCTAAATCCCCGGCCCTAGAGCTACTAACTTAAAAAGACCAACTATATCAAAATTGCTGTATTGTAAATAATAACTTAAAACAATTGAGAACTTACTATATTCCAAACACTGTTTAAAATATTTGGTAGTCATGTGCTGCACAACAACATTTTGGTCAGTGACAGACCACCTATGTGATGATCCCGTAAGATTAGTACACAGCTAAAAAATTCCTATTGCTTATTGTACTGTACTTTTACTTTTTTTTTTTTTTTGGTACCAGGGATCTAACTCGGGTCCTTGTGCTTGCGCAGCAAGCGGCGAAACCACTGAGCTAAATCCCTGGCCCTGTACTGTACTTTTTCTACATTTAGGCATACAAAGTCTTGTCACTGCATTACAACTGCCTACAGAATGTGGGACAGGTGAGTAGCCTGGGAGCAACAGGCTCGCCCTCATGCCTAGGGGTGTGCCAGGCTGTTCCATCTAGGCTTTTGCAAGGCGCTATGACATTCATAACACTGCGCAACACCTAATGACAGTGTCTCAGAACGTACGCCTGTCATTAAGCAATGAATCATTGTATCTATCTATAAATAATTGCTACAAATTCTTATAATCTATCAAGCAAGTGCTATTATTATATCTATTTTATAGTTCAGGAAACTAAGGAGCAAAAGAAAAAACAAAAGGTGGGGGGTATGGCTCCATGGTAGAGCCCTTGAATAGCATGCACAAGCCCCTGGGTTGGATCCCCAGTACCACAGTAAAACAAAAACCCCTCAAACATGGAGGAAGGAATGAAGGAACAAACGAAGGAATGAAGGAAGAGAAATTTGTCATATTTGCCATTGTAATTAATGTGACTATTGCTGTCATCACCCAAACCTTCAATATGAGTCTACAATGATTTGCTGTTATCATATAATATTTGAAAATACATTTACAGTCTTTAAAAAGGCTATTATAATTGGTTTCCTTTCTCTTCTTTTGTTTCATAGGACACTCTGCCACAGAGCTGCATCCCCAGCCCTTTGACCAAGCCCAGTCTGGAAATTCAGTAACTTAACAAGACCCTGCCTCAAAATAAAAAATAAAAGAGCTGGGGATATAGCTTGGTGTGAAGGTACTGGGCTCAATTTCTAGTACCACCACCAAAAAAAAAGGGTACAAGCCGGGTGCAGTGGCGAAAGCTTGTAATGCCAGCACTTCGGAGGCTGAGGCAGGAGGATTGCCATGAGTTCGAGGCCTGCCTGGGCTACAACGTGAGTTCAGGGCCAGCCTGAACTACATAGGGAGACCTTGCCTCAAGAAAACAAAACAAAAAAACAAAAAACAAACAAACAAAACAAAAAGGTACAAAACTCCTAGAAGAAAACCGTAGAGAAAAACCTCATAGCATTGGTATTAGCAATAATTTCTTAGATGTGACCCTAAAAACAACCAAGATAACAATAACAGGCAGAAGTACAGCAAACTAAAAAGCTTCTGCACAGCAAAAGAAACCACCAAGAGAGTACAATGGCAGCCAATGGGACAACATTTTTTCTTCTTTGGTATTTGGAACTGAAACTAAACCCTCATGTATGTTAAGCACATACTCTACCCCCAAGCTAACCCCCAGCTCAGGAATAGGAGAAAATATTTGCAAACCATATATCTAACCATACAAGAGGTTAATAGCCAAAATACACAAGGAACTCCTACAGCTCAGCAGGAAAAAGCAAAAACCAATCATAAAAATATACAAAGACACACAAATGCCCATATAAAAAGATGCCCAGCATCACACATCACCAGGGAATGCAAATCAAAACAACTGTGTCACTTCACACCTTTATAACAGCTAATAGAAAAAATAAATCTCAGGCTGGGGATTTAGCTCAGTGGTGCTGTGCCTGCCTCACAAACACAGGGTCCTGAGTTCGATCTCTGGTACAAAATAAAAAATAAAAAAGAATGTACAAAGGAGCAGCAACTATGGAAAGCAATATGGAAGTTACTCAAAAAAATAAAACTATGATCCAGCAAAAAACTTCAGGGTATTTATCCAAATAACCTGAAATCAAGAATGGAAAAAATATTTGCACTCTTGTGTTCATTACAGAGTATTCTCAATAGCCAAGAGATGATGGTGGTAACAATTTACATATCTATTGATAGATGGCTGGATGTGGAAAATGTGATGTGTCCACAAGTCTCGGCCTGTTTCGTGTTTCTATAACAAAGTACCTGAGGCTGGGTAGGTCATAAAGAAAAGAGGTTTATTCAGCTCACACTTCTGAAGGTTGAAGAGCATGGTGGGAGCATCTCAGCTTCTGGTGAGAGTCTCATGACACAGGGCATCACATGGCAGGAGCATGTGCCAGAGTGAAAATGTAGGTGGAACCAGAAGAGGCTGAAACACTAGAGTGCACCTTGCTTTAGAACAACCCACTCTTGCTTGCACTCCTGAGAGATCCAGCCCAGCCTCTCAACAAGGCCATTAAGCCATCCATGGGGATGAGTCCCCATGATCTAAGTATCTTTTTTTTTTACTTAAGTATCTCTTAAAGGTTTCACCACCTCTCACACAGTTATACTGGGAGTCAGATTTCAACACCAGTTTCAGTGGGGACAAAACATATTCAACCATAGCAATATACAAGAGAAAATTATTCAGTCATAAAAAAGAAAGAAATCCTGCCATACATGACAACGCGGATGAACTCTGAGGACATCATACTAAACGAAATAGGCCACTCACAAAACAAATATTGTGTAATTCCACTTATGAGGCATGTAAATTAGGAAAGGAATGGTGGCTCTCAGGCACTGGGTACAGGAACTGAGGAGCTGATACTCAGGATGCATAGTTTCAGTCATGCAAGAAGAAAAGTTGTGGAGATCTACTATACAATACTGAACTTAATATACTGTACACTTGAAAATTTTTAAGAGGGTATATTTCATATATGTTTTTTACTACAACTAAAGAAAAAGGAAGAAAAAGAAAAGGAGGAGGGGGAAGAAGTAGTAGCAGTATGGAAATTAAAATTTTGTGTTTATATTCTATTATATTTTCGGTTCCGTTTGATTTTGAGACAGTCTAACTATGTATGTAGTTCAGGCTGTCTTTGAACTCACTATGTAGCCCCAGGTTGGCCTCAAATGTGCAGCAATCCTCTTGTTAAATTGCTAGATTGCCTAGGCCGGACTTGAAGTTGTTGTGATCCTCCTGCTTGAACTTCCCACAGCACCAGGATTATAGGGATGTGCCACCACACCCAGTTTATTTTTATTTCTACATGTTTGCAGCACATAATGATTACATTCATCATGGGAAGTTGGTACATGTCCATAACACATCTTAATTCTTTTCACTTCCTCTTCCCTTTCACTATCTGCCTCCTGCCTCCATCTCTTTGCAGTAAACTTTTTAACTGAATAGTTAATTCAAATAAAACTTCTTGAAATTAGTTAAAAATAGTAAAGCACACAGAAAGACCCCTCAGGACCAGGGATGTAGCTCTGGTAGAGTGCTTGGTGAAGCCTTGGGTTTGAACCCCAACACAGCAAAGAAATAAGACATGTCCTTATTTAAAGAAATCACAAAATGGGTCATAAAAACATCATAGCATTTGTTGAATAAACCAAACATGGCATGAAAAGCTTATAAAAGTTGTTCTGAAAATAGATGAACCTGAAAACTTATAAACACATAGCTAATATGCCCGAAACAGAATTATTTTCATAGTTCACTAATAAGACACTCTAAGAAATAGAACAAAAGTGAAAAATCTTTGAATTTTTTTACATTCTAAGACAAGTGGTCAGACCATCCTATGAAACAATAGTAGCTGCCCTCTCATAAAAACAAGTGTGAGGCCAGGGATTTAGCTCAGTGGTTTGGATGCCTGCTGCGCAAGCGCAAGGACCCGAGTTCGATCCCCAGTACCAAAAAAATAAAAATAAAGTGTGATAAGGAACCTTGCCATACGGTGTGAGGAGGAGCTCAGTGCTACAACACTCGCCTAGCATGCACAAGGCCCTGGGTTGGATCCCCAAGACCGCACATACACACAAAAAAACCTCCAAGATATAATTAATTCAAAAATCTATTTAGGAGGGCTACGGAGTGTAGCTCAATGGTAGAGTACTTACCTAACATACAGGAGGTGGCCTGGGTTCAATCCCCCTAACCTCCAAAATCAATTTATGTACAAGTTTGCTGGAATTCATCTATTATATAAAGAAGTACAGAAAGTTCTGGATGATAATCTTTCTCAAAGCTACCATGTTTGACACAGAGACCAAAAACAAATTCCCTGGCCCTTAATCTGTTACTTAGTAAAAACAAGATTTGTGTTTTATTCTGAGGCAATCAGTGACTTAAAAGCTGTTTTTGTAAACAAAACAAAACAGTATTGGGGTGGGAGGGCTGCGGATGTCCTACAGGTAACTAGAGATAGAACAAAGTTTGAGCTTCATTTTGTATCCTTTTATTACCTTAAAACTTTGGGTCACATCCCTTTTATTATTTTTTTTGGGGGGGGTACCAGGGATCGAACTCAGGACCCTGTGCTTATGAGGCAGGCGGCGGCACCACTGAGCTAAATCCCCGGCCCCTCAAATCCCTTCTAGGCTTTGCACACAGACATGGTAACCATTTAGGAAGTGCCTTGTGCTTGCTTCGGCAGCACATATACTAAAATTAGGAAGTGCCTCTCCAGAACTTGGCAAAACAAGGTTGATTAGCCCTAACTTTACATAATCTATCTCATCCTCAATTCAAGACTAAGACTACCAAGATAACAGTTTTATAGGGACACTTAACTGTCCCCAGAAGTCTCCAGTCATTGCCCTACTCCTCTGGGCACCCTGATTCCAGAAGAGCCTGCACAACAC